TAGCTGTGGAACCAAAGATTGAGAGTTCGATTCCCCACTGTGCCTCCTTAACATAGGCTGGGTTCAGTGGCCTATAGGGTCTCTTCCAGCACTGCAGTTCCAACATGATTAATACGATAAGTGGACCCTAGATAAAATCAAGCCTGAACTTTCCCTGGAGGCAAACATGACAAAACGGGGGCTTTCATATTTTGGACACATCATGAGAAGGCCAGATTCATTGGAGGGCAGGCCAATAATGCTGGCGAAAGGTGGAAGGCGGCAGGAAAAGAGGAAGACCAAATGTGAGATGGGCTGACTCCCTAATAGAAGCCACAGCCTTGCGTTTACTAGAGTTCAGCAAGGCTGTTTGAGGGCAGGACATTCTGGAAACCACTAGGTTTGCCATAAATCTTCAGAAGTCCTGTTTGAATCCTTCTTTGTGTCTAGTTTTTGCTTCTAATCCTAAATCTTTACCCATCTCGTCCTTATTTATTTGGCTGGCATCATCACAGTTTAGGGATACCCAGTGTGGTGTAGTGGGCAGAGTGACAGATTGGGACTCTGGAGGCCTGGGTTCAAATCTCTGCTCACACAGGGAAATGGAACTGGGAAAACCAATCCTTAAATATCTCACTTACTTTGAAAACCCCTATTAAAGTCACTATAAGTCAGTTCTGATTTGACAGCACATAACAGTAACATCATAGTTTATTTAAGCATTTGCTAATTAGGCTTTGAAATGCCACACGGGCTGAAAACTGAGGCTGCAGCAGTGTGTTGTCATTTTACCTCCAAAGATTCCAGCCCCCTTGATTTCACTAGCATTTGGTTTAAAGGAGATGCGAGTTCAAGATTTGCAGCTTTCACTGTTTGTACGGGGAAGGGGAGGAAAGGAAGTTGAGAAAGAATTAAATTGGTTTGATATCATGTTGTATCTTTATGGAATTTTTTTTCACCAGAAGAAGTTGGTGGTAATTGTGTGGCTGGTTAATAAGGTGAGTTTACAACTGCAAATGGTAAGGTAAAGGGGGAAAATGTTTATCGTTTTAAGAAATACCATGCAGGATAAAATGAGATAAAGCCTATACTTGACTATA